GAACAATTTCAAATAATTGTTTTTGTTAACCAAGAGCAGAAAGGCAAGTATGATGAGAAGAGAACAGAAATCTTGGTAATGATGTTAAACCAACATAGACTCATGGCACCTTATTATTAATTCTTGTTCTCAAACTTGCCATTTAACCCATTACTCAATTCCCTGATAATATAAATACCACAAAATAGAAACATATATTTTCCTCCAAGCTCTAAGTCTCATATTATCAAAAGTTCTTCAAGTCTTAAATTGCTACCAAGAATGAACAGATGCCCCAAGTATCCATTTCGGGTTGCATATTCTACCTAAATTAATGAGTAGACTCTTGTTCAACATATATGCATAAAAACTGACTCTTTGAATGTTAAATGATACAATAGGGAAACAACTGAATGCAGAATATGGAATAAGCTACAGTCCAAATGACATGTCATCCAACATATTGATGGCATTAAAAAATAAGACTACAAAGACATAAAAACTAAATGCAATCTGTGGGTTTTTTTAAGATCTTGATTCAAACAAACTAACTTTAAGAATTTATTATTGATTTTGTAGGTGTAATAACGCTAGATTGTTAGCATTATGCTAGATGGCTAAATCAAAAGTCCTTATTGGTTAGAAATGTTTATTGAAAAAAATATATGTATATAATGACAGAATGTTGGAGATTTGCTTTTAAATACTGCAGAAAGAAAAAATGTGCAGTAGACAAAATTAATAGAATATTGATAAAATATTAATAAAATGAATAAAATATTGATAATTATTGGAGTTGATGTATATTATACTATTCTCTCCACTTTTACATATGTTTTAAAATTCCCACTTAAAGAACAGTATTTCCTCAAAGTAACGTAGCCCTTTCAGTCTTCAAAAGTCTGAAACTACATGTTATACCTTAAAAGTTTGTAGATTTCCCTATTCCCAAATTAAGCTTAGGGCTGTCTCTGCGGAAAGTGACAGTGAGGAATACAATAAAACCTGAGAAAATGAAAGAAAGTGAATTGATGTCACTGCATAGATGTACTTCAAGTTAAAGGGAGGGAGATGTGTTGGATAAACTTGGAAGGTCCCATTCATTTAAAATTGCCTCTTTTCAGAAAGACACTGAGAGACCATTTTAACGGTTGAACCTGGAACATTCTTTATTCATTTATCTAAGTCAGAGATGTTCACTCATAACCATATGTGACCAGATAGGGTTTTTAATGGAGCCCTTGAAGCAAGCAGATGGAAACCAAGGATAATTCCGAGAAGTGTTAATGCTCTGATGAAGATCAGGATATAATTACAAATGTAGAAATGCATATGACTGTTCTAACCAACCAGAAATAAAGAAAATCATTTTCACAATTGCAGGGATCTCTATATTGGCATTCTGACAATCCAGTTATATGACAGGGTTACAAACATTAAGCTCTTTACAGTATCTAGATCAAATGTACTTATTGGTGAAAGCACTTTTTAAGTTAGAACATAGAATGTCAACAATGCATGCTCTATATTAATAATAAATGGTTTGGCATTAAAATAGTAATAGAAAAGAAATACTGAGAATGTTTTCTATAATATTAGTAAACTCTGACTCACCATTAGTCATGTTGGTGACACCTGACATTGCTCATAACCAGAGAACCTATACAGAATCAAATGAGAATTAATTTTCTCATAGGTACTCTGATTCCAGAAATACTTTATAGTACTTTATAGTTTATAATGTACTTACACATAAATTATGAAAATTATTCCTACATAAAACATTTAGAGATTCATAGCTCAGGTTTTATGAGTCCCATTTTGCAGATGAACAAAATGAGACCTTGAGATGTTTGTCCAAAATCAGTTCTAAATTCCAAATGTCAGTTTGTATACATAATAAACAATATATGTTTTTCTCTATTCTAGAAAGATATTTTGTATTCACCAAACTTATTTTCTAAAGTGCTTAGTCCAGCTGTTTTTATATCTAGTGTTTATGTAATTTTCAATTTCAATTTTCATCAAAACTCTTGGCTCCATTGCCCTCCAAAGCCATATGTAAAGATGTTGCCTCGGTCTAAGGAGGCCATCTGAATGGAAACCCATGTTGCTATTGTCTGAGGACTTATTTTACTAATCATTTTGTAACTTTATGTTAAAAAAAAAGACCTGTAAAATATTTTAAAATACATCATGGTGCTTTGAGGCCTAATATCAAGATGTTTTCAAAAATTAAATTAAAGTCTAATAAAAATGAAGAAAAGTGAAAGGAAAACCAGATGTTATTCAAATGTGTTAAGCCCTGGATCGTACTCCCAAAACTTGACCCATAGAAACACTTAATGGCTTCACCATCCCTACAGTTTCTTAGCCCACAAAACTAAAGTCATCTGTAATTTCCCTCTTTATCTCATACCTCTACTTCCAATTCCTTAGGAAAATGCCATTGGTTTTATTTAAAAATATATCCATAATCTAATCGATTCTCACTACTTCTGCTGCTACCACACTGGCCCAAGTACCATTACCTCTCTCCTGGATTGGTACAATAGCCTCCTCACTGGGCCCCGTGCTCTAACCCTGGCTGTTTTAACATCTTTTCCCACAACAGCAGCAAAAGTCTCAGTTTGGGTTGCTATGACAAAATATCATGAACTGGGTGGTTTAAGCAACTAGTATTTTAATATTTATTTCTCACAGTTCTAGAGGCTGGGAAATCTAAAATAAAGGCACCTGCAGATCTGGTGGATAGAGAGGGCTTGATTTCTGGTTTGTAAACAGCTACGTTCTTCTGTATCCTCACAGAACAGAGAACAGAGACAGAAAGGAAGAAAGCTGTCCCGTGTCTCTTCTTAACCTTATAATACCACTGATTCCATTATGAGGTTGGAAAACTCAAAAAGGCTCTATCTCCAAATACCACCACTCTGGGGATTGAGGATTCAATATATGAATTGGGTGGGGGTTGGGGGTGGATGAAAACATTCAGTTCAGAGCAGTGATCTTTTTAATAGGTAGTTTGATCATATCATTATTCTGCACAAAATCTTGAATTGGCTCCCCATTTTCTTCAGAATAAAGTCAATAATCTTATGTTGTCATACACAGCCTTCCATGACCCAGGACCTAGTTAGTACCTCTCTGACTTTATTCTACCACTTGCTCTCTCCACTCTAGACTAGTTGGCTTTCTTGCTGTTCATTGAACACATGGTCTGCTTCTACCTCAGGGTCTTTGCACTGGCCACTCCCCATATATTAAATACGTAATGTAGTATAATTTCACTTCTGTTGAAAGACAAATCAGAAATAATCAGCTCGCTATAACCAACATGTAAAGGGAGGAAAAAAAATTTAAAACGTACTAACAAATGACTAACATCTTTTAGAGCATAAGTTTTGTTTTGATTTTCCTTTTGAGGGATGACTTTACATTTTATTGGAGTAATTTCTGCAGCCTCAAGTATTCAGGGTAGCTTAGAATTGAGTTGTTTTATTTTTGTATTTCTCAACTAACTCATGGATAATCTTCCCTCCTTAGGCACTTCATTATCTTGAACCAGGTCAGACCTGGAGGTGATATGTGCTTGAGGGCTAGTGCCAAGTTAGGGGCCATACAGAGTGCCTGGAAGCCAACCGAATCCCAGAGTGGCTACTCATTACTACTGAGAAAGAGACCAATGGTCAGTAAGGGTGAGCATAAAGTCAGAACTCCAGATCAAAACAAGATCAGGAACCACAATACCAGAAAAATGTCTGAAAACTAAGAGCAAAGTGTGTAACACAGTGGAGAATGCTATTCACCATAAATAATCCAAGAAGATTTGCCCCAGGAAAAGCAAAGTAAAAGAATTACATTCTCGGTGGGCTCCTCTGTTCTTCTGTCACCAGGGACTGAGGCAAGACAGACAAGAAACACAAAGTTGATGGATCCTTCAGCCATCCTAGAGTGGCCCTCTGCAGCTGTTGGGCATAACAGATGACTCAGTGGCTACTTCCCATGGAGAAAAAGGGAGAGGGAGGAGAAAAAAATAGATGCTTTCAAGCAACAGAGACATGCAGGAAGCTATAAATATGGTTACCTTTCCTCTTTTTTATGAAAAATATAAGTTGTCAAGCCCCATTTGAGAATGTCTGATGATAAAATTTCAGTGTTACCCCTTTGTACAGTTCCAGGGGGAATATTCAAAAGCATATGTACTGATCTCATAAAATTTATGGCTTAACAATGAAGACAAGAGATGCCTTCATGAAAAGCAAGACCACCTACGGATCATCTAAGTTTTCCCATTTCTAGTTTCTTGCCTTTTCACATACATCCATTAAAAATACTTTCTCCAAAATTGTTTCCAATTTCACTGACTGAGGAAATCTGTAGGGCTCAATACCATGTACACAAGACTAACAACACATAACCAGTTATACTACATCCATAGCACTTGCAACCCACATAAAAATGTATTTTTCAATATCTATTAAGCATCTATCATGTGCCAAGTGCTGCTATAGGTATTAGGGAAAATGAAGTAGACTAAATTGTCTTTGTCCTCATGAAACATACATTCCAATATCATAAGTTTGCATACGCTCCCTTCCTACTAGGAGAAAACATTATTTTTAACCATTCCTTTACATTGAGTTTTTTAAACCTACTTGACCAACAGAGATTATTGATAGCACACCCTCAACCATACCCCTAAATCAGAATCATGGAAAAGGTATTAAGAAATCTACCTTTCTGACAAGCTCTCTGGGTGCTTTATATGCATTCATAGCATAGATATATTGGGGAGGAAACCCCTGGCCCTATTAGTAGCATATTACCTAAGGAATTGATGATTTTTCTTTGGACTATATATGTGGTACCCTTTTTGATTTTCATGAATAACCTTTACCAAACTTCTCATCCTTGGAGAATATGAAAGGTCTCCAGGTTTTTCCACAGCCAATACATCTGGAAAAAACTAACAAAGCAAACTTTCTTAAAGGATACCATTTATTTATAAACAAAATGGCTATCTCTACAGGGCAGATGTTACTATGTACTGCTTTGGGGAAGAAAAAAGATCAAACATTACATATTACATATGGTCCACAGAACCAAAGGATTCATTTTAAAGGTAAAATGGAAATGATGTATATATAGGAAGTTTTCTCATGAAAGAAGGCAAGACTGAGTGAATCCCAGAAATCCATTGTGTACAATATAAAACTCATTAACTATTCATTGAAGTAGTTCTCTGTAAGTTAATGACAGTCAGTACAGTCAATATAATACTAAACAGCATGCAATCCTAGGAAGTACAATAAGTTTGATATTATACTATTTAAATAGCTTACACAGACAGTTTATGTGTAACACATTGTTCTAAGTACTTTATATATATTAATATGACTTAATCCTTAAAACATGTCTCAAAACATGAAGTGTGTTTTAGTTATCATGCCCATTTTGCAAATGAGAACACAGAGATTTAGAGGAGATAAGTGACCCACTTAAAGTTACAAAGCTGTTAAGTTATAGTCAGGATTTGAATCTATGTGCCAAAGTCTTTGCTCTTAATCACTAAACTACTGCTTCTTAGTTTTTATGCTTCTTTAGGAGCCTCAGACCAAAGAGGTTTACATAATCCCATTAGAAGAAGCAAAAATTTGATGACTGTAGCTTCCTGCCCTAATCCCTTAATAGGTCTAATTTTCATTTGACTAATTTTTAAAATAAGGATAACAATGTTGTTGAATGGGATCATCTAGTGGTTAGAGGTTCAAGCATAAGAGCCACTTGGTTCTGAATCTCAGCTCTGCCACTTGCTTGTTATGTGACCTTGAGCAAGTTACCTCTTCAAGTCTTTTTCCTCATCTTGAAAATGGAGGTTATAATGGGACCTACATCATGCTATTGTTTAAAGATAAAATAAGATAGCCCATTTAAAGCACTTAGAAAGTGCTCAATAAATATTATTGGTGTAATAAATAGCAGCAGCATCAATAAACTATGAACCAAATGATCTCTTGTTTCTTATACTAGCACTAAAAATAGTTTATTTCTGTTCTAATTAAAAGAAAATTACAGCAACCAAAACAACAAACCAAACCATAAGCCATAAAACCAATTATATCTTTCGTGAGAAAACCAGAAAGGCCACTGGACTCATTAATTCACATGTTATTAGTTATCCTCTCTGTTCCAAAATGTATGTGTTCTAGCATCCTGAGACACCTTGCACAATATAATCACTGTGACTCTAAGAGGTCAAATGGGCAGGCAGTTAATGCTTCTCTGTGAAAAGCTCAATAATTCATTTTATAAATTTCAGTTCAAAGCCTACGTTGAGGTTAAGAAAAATTGACATTCGGTCTGTGAACTTAATGTCAAGCTCCAGAAAAACTCTGGGCAGCACATGTTTAGTGATTAAGTGGACGCAGACAATAAAGACATTGCCAAATTGTAAAACAAGACTTGGAAATCACAGAAAATGTTGCTAGTTATTGATTACGGTGACCATTCAGTTCCTATTGAGCCACCCAAAAGAATCATTCATTTTCCAGCAGAGAGCCTGCTCATTTGCAAGATAAAAGAGAGACATTTCTGCACATGCCCATAATGTTCTTCACCACTGGGGGCAGCTTTACATAAGACTGCATTCACTGAAACCAAAGCAACAGTCCGAGCAGCTTTCAGAATGACAGTCTGCAGAAGTGAGCTGAGCGTGTGCGCGGTACAGGGCTCTCCTGCCTTCTGGGCTCCAACGCAGCTCTGTGGCTGAACTGGGTGCTCACCACGGGAACTGCTGGGCTATGGAATACAGATGTGGCAGCTCAGGTAGCCCCACATTGCCTGGAGGAATACATCATGTTTTCCGATAAGAAGCAATTGTAGAAGCCAGTTTTTTTTTTTGAACACCCCCCCCCAAAAAAAACTGTAAAGATGCAAAAACGTAATATCCATGAAGATCCTATTACCTAGGAAGATTTTGATATTTTGCTGCGAATGCGGTGTTGGGATTTATTTTTTCTTGGAGTGTTCTGCGTGGCTGGCAAAGAATAATGTTCCAAAATCGGTCCATCTCCCAAGGGGTCCAATTTTTCTTCCTGGGTGTCAGCGAGCCCTGACTCACTACAGTGCAGCTGACAGGGGCTGTCATGCAAGTGGCCCCCTAAGCCAAAGCAAAAGACCTAAGGACGACCTTTGAACAATACAAAGGATGGGTATGTTTTGTCATTTTTCTTCTTTCCTTCTTAAAATCCCCCAAAATGAAAAAAAAAAAACCCAAACCTCTAGTCTGTGTAATATTTCTGCCTTAATTATTTTAGAGATTACCTTGCTCTGCTCTAAGACTATAAATTCAATTGCTTAGTGGGCATGTTTCCTTGTTTAACTATTAAAAAAAAAAACCTAAAGACAATTCTCTTTAACTACAAAGAGATATGTGATATTAAATGTTGTTATGTAGATTTATGTTTGTAAAAATGAAAATACATGCTTATTTTTGCTTGATAAAAAATGAATTATTTTTTGGGGGGATAACTTTTCTAAGTTGTTTTTATTTCCAGGTTTCAATGTAATTAGGCTACTGAGCGGATCTGCTGTAGCACTGGTTATAGCCCCCACTGTCTTACTGACAATGCTTTCTTCTGCTGAACGTGGATGCCCTAAGGGCTGTAGGTGTGAAGGCAAAATGGTATATTGTGAATCTCAGAAATTACAGGAGATACCCACAAGTATATCTGCTGGTTGCTTAGGTTTGTCCCTTCGCTATAACAGCCTTCAAAAACTTAAGTATAATCAATTTAAAGGGCTCAACCAGCTCACCTGGCTATACCTTGACCATAATCATATCAGCAATATTGACGAAAATGCTTTTAATGGAATACGCAGACTCAAAGAGTTGATTCTGAGTTCCAATAGAATCTCCTATTTTCTTAACAATACCTTCAGACCTGTGACAAATTTACGGAACTTGGATCTGTCCTATAATCAGCTGCATTCTCTGGGATCTGAACAGTTTCGGGGCTTGCGGAAGCTGCTGAGTTTACATTTGCGGTCTAACTCCCTGAGAACCATCCCTGTGAGAATATTCCAAGATTGCCGCAACCTGGAACTTTTGGACCTGGGATATAACCGGATCCGAAGTTTAGCCAGGAATGTCTTTGCTGGCATGATCAGACTCAAAGAACTTCACCTGGAGCACAATCAATTTTCCAAGCTAAACCTGGCCCTTTTTCCAAGGCTGGTGAGCCTTCAGAATCTTTACTTACAGTGGAATAAAATCAGTGTCATAGGACAGACCATGTCCTGGACCTGGAGCTCATTACAAAGGCTTGATTTATCAGGCAATGAGATCGAAGCTTTTAGTGGACCTAGTGTTTTCCAGTGTGTCCCGAATCTGCAGCGCCTCAACCTGGATTCCAACAAGCTTACATTTATTGGTCAAGAGATTCTGGATTCTTGGATATCCCTCAATGACATCAGTCTTGCCGGGAATATATGGGAATGCAGCAGAAATATTTGTTCCCTGGTAAACTGGCTGAAAAGTTTTAAAGGGCTGAGGGAGAATACAATTATCTGTGCCAGTCCCAAAGAGCTGCAAGGAGTAAACGTGATTGATGCAGTGAAGAACTACAGCATCTGTGGCAAAAGTACCACAGAGAGGTTTGATCTGGCCAGGGCTCTCCCAAAGCCAACGTTTAAGCCCAAGCTCCCCAGGCCGAAGCATGAGAGCAAACCCCCTTTGCCCCCGACTGTGGGAGCCACAGAGCCCGGCCCAGAGACTGATGCTGACGCCGAGCATATCTCTTTCCATAAAATCATCGCGGGGAGCGTGGCCCTTTTTCTGTCGGTGCTCGTCATCCTGCTCGTTATCTACGTGTCATGGAAGCGGTACCCTGCGAGCATGAAGCAGCTGCAGCAGCGCTCCCTCATGCGAAGGCACAGGAAAAAGAAAAGACAGTCCCTAAAGCAAATGACTCCCAGCACCCAGGAATTTTATGTAGATTATAAACCCACCAACACAGAGACCAGCGAGATGCTGCTGAATGGGACGGGACCCTGCACCTATAACAAATCAGGCTCCAGGGAGTGTGAGGTATGAACCGTTGTGATAAAAAGCGCTCTTAAAAGCTGGGAAATAAGTGGTGCTTTATTGAACTCTTGTGACTATAAAGGGAACGCGATGCCTCCCCTCCCCCTCCCTCCCCCTCTCACTTTGCTGGCAAGGTCCTTCCCTGTCCGTTTTAGTGCATTCATAATACCGGTCATTTTCCTCTCATACATAATCAACCCATTGAAATTTAAATATCACAATCAATGTGAAGCTTGAACTAAGGCTTAAAATAATGCCTATTGTATAAGACCCTTTATTGATTTTATTAATGTAGCATTTGTTTAAGATAAAACTTCTTTCATTAGTAATCCCCCACATCTGCTGTTATTGTCCTTCTCTTAGGACCAAATCTACAGTTCTAGAAGGTTTGTAGTTCATTGGAAAATCAAGGAAAGAGGTGAATGGTCCCAAGACCAGGTACTAGGAGTTTGAACTGATTCTAGGAGATGACTCAGTTTAGGGGAACATTTTAGAGACAGGCAAAGCCTTTAAACTAATGCCTGCCTTAAAAAGAAAATTTCAGGAAACTATCAAAAGATGGTGCTGGGTTAAAGCAGCACCATCAGCAGTCTCCAGAGGTGTCTGAATTGCAATAAGGGAAGGATAGAGAAAAAGTGTTGAAGGGTTAAAATACTGCAAGTAGACAACTGCAACATGTGAGGAGATGGTAAAAATTCAAAGTTTTAGATTTGAAGCCTTGTCTCTGAAACCTGGCCCTGTAAAATCAGACTAGAGCTTTCACTATCAATTTCTTTTAGCTTGTACAGTTCATAAATAGCCAAGAGACAAATTTGAGGAGGCAGATTTCTCCACTTCTGCCTCACCTCTCTCACATTAGGGAGTTTTCAAAGATAAGGTTTGTAAATGGGAAGGCAGTTTGCTATATGCATGTGGTTGGGAGTTTACCAGAATTTCACTTTCCAGCTTTTTCAAAGACCCTAATGTAGTTAGTGGAATCATTAGCTCTGTCCTGTTCTTCTGTTTAGGATTTGTCAGCCTGTCCTGTTGTGTTCTGTCATATGTCCTGCACACACCAGTCCCCTAATGACTGACACTTCATTCAGATGTGTAAAAAGAACACATTCCAAGACATGCTTTCCACCAATAGCCTTAGTGAAAAGGATGACTTTGATAACACCTTAGTAAGTGCATAAATTAAATCTTAGAGGAAAAAAAGATCAACACTATGATAGTTCTCTTTTGCTCTGCTATTGCTGACATTACACAGTGTCTCTGTGTTCATCTGTATTGTGAACTCATCCATCAGTACAACTCTGTACAGACCTTGTTGGCAATCTGCAAGCTGCATGCATGTTTTTATCGTCATTGGTGAAAGTTTATTGACTGCAGCACGAATATCATATCCTCTGTATTTAAGTAACTTGAACCACAGTTCATTAAGGTTTTAGAAAAATATCTTTAGCCTGTATCTTCTTTCATCCTTCAAAATGAACAGTTCTATTATAGGAGCAAAAATCAGGAATTGCAATATTAAGCCTATTTCACTTAATTTGACTTGTCAAGTCTCACATCTCTAACCATGTTCCTATTTTTTCAAAACAATCTTTGCAGCAAAAAATAAAAAATGAATGGCTATTTTTACTAATATTTTTATATTGTTTGGAGGTTTTTCATATGCTGAGAGGAAAAATCTAAGCAAATCATGAAATATATTTGCAAGGAAGCCACATTATTAAAATCATACTTTCATAAACAATGAAGAAAAAGAATCATTTAAAGTAGATTTCTAAAGGTACTTTGATTCTGATTAAATCTTACAATTGATGCCAATGCAGAAAAGCATCATAGCTACAATGTTTACCCATGAATAATTGTTAAATGTACATTTATTAATGGCAAAGAATCACATATTCCCAATTGATAATGCAGATACTTCCTTACAGCGCTATGAACTGGATGACTGAGCTCTCTGTGATGTTTTTCACTGAAGTTGTAATTTTACATTTTTCATAAAGTGTTAGTAAATACATATTCCATCTAAAAAAGAAATTTTCTTTGCCCACCTTCATTTTTATCTGTATTAAAGATCATTGTGTTAATTAAATACAGTCTTAAAGTGAAAAAGCCCATTTCTATTCTTTGACTTGACCTTCTGCCTCATTTGTGATGGATACCAAACATATTTAGGCAAGGCATATTTATACTTATATCTTTGCATTCTTGCAAATTCTCAATGTTGTGGTGCTACTACTATATATAAAATATGCTTGCTATATTGAAAAATATTTCTAAAATTCAAAGCTATTTGGTGTGTAAAATATAAGATTAAATGACCAACATTTGTAGGGTAGTCATTTTTTAATGCCTAGCTTTCCTCATAAACTTAATAATAGATAAGTGAAAATAAAATCCCTTAGGTGGTAAAACTCATTTTGATTCAGGATGTGAAATTAAAAAAAAGAAGAAGAAAAAAAGAAAACCCCTTCTTTCCTCCTACCCCCTCTTTGAGAATGAAGCTTCTCTAGTTCTCAGTATCTTCTAAGCACAAATATGTAATTCTTGTAAGTTAAACAATAACTAGTTCACCGCTGTAAATTTAACAAAGCCAACTGGCAAGTGTTTTCCTGCTAGAAGTTGTTGCCCTCACCTCCACTCTATGGCACTTTCTGGACTATACCCCATAAATCTATTTTCATAAGTATTTCAAGCTCATTGCATTTTAGAGAAATGTGACTGATATTCATTTTTCTGGTGCAAATTTATATAAAATATCTGACTTCTCTCAAAGGTGACAACAGTTCAATAAACAGCATGACCTGTTGAACTATGTAACAGAGACACATCAGTAAGAATAGATTCAGTCAGTACTTTGCTTTACCCAGAGAGGAAATGGAGTTTAGTCTCTGAACTGCATGTGGGTTTTTTCCATTTTTATTAACACCAGTACACATAGTGCGGCTGCAGCATGGAGTTAATAGTCCTAGTGCCACAGTCTTATAAGCAATACTTATGCAAGATATATTCCACTTAAATAAATTTGTATTTTCCAAGGATGTTGACATTACATCTTTTCAAAGAATTTAAGCCATTTTTTTACTTGATTTGGTGAGTCAACTACCTAAGCAGACAGGCAATAAAGTGTATTTGTGTGGAGCAGCAGTGACCTCCAGTGGCTGGTTAGACTAAATACAGCTATTCATACACATTTTACCTTTTTATCCTGAATCCTTATGTAAATGTGGTTTACAGCATATATTTTTGGATCTGTACATCAGATTAAGATTTTTTTTAGCTCATTTCTCCAGAAAATATATTTTTTATGTAATTTTTGAAAGTTATATTTTGCATATTGACTTTTTTTAATAATGCCGGAACAGAGATCATAGAACTGGTACTGGGGATTAGAAATAAGTGTCCAAAGATGAAAAGTGAGTAATAATGCACTAAGAATAAATGAGAAATATTTTTAAAGTATTTATACTCATCAAGGCTGGACAAATATTTTGATATTTTCATTAAATGGATTAATCTTTTCCATAGGCAGTATACTTACATTCAATGTAATTTAGATGGGGAAAACAAATTTCAATTTTAATACTGAAAGACTTGGCATCAGTTATTTACCAGTCAGTAGGTATATCAGAGCTATCAATGGAGGGAGGCCTCCCATTCCAGCTTTAGAACCCTCTAGTTTTCTGATCGTGCCAGTGACCTGTGCTTTGCCCCAGTGCTTTCTTCCTCCCTCCCCCTTCCCAGCCAGCTGAACACTGGTTCTATTAGGCTCTCTGACAATGATGTTACAGTCTAAGAGGTGATGATTCATGGATAATGAAATTATGCTCTCCTTCTGGGGAAGGATAATGCAGAGTCAGATTCATGGGGTTGGCAAGAGATTTTAGGATGCTGTAGGTGCATGAAATATCTTTTCTTCCCTTGACATTTACCAAGATCAGAACTCAAATAGTTTATTTAAAGTGTGGATTATACTAGCATCAGAAACAAGCATCAAGTCATGAAGCCTAAGACAAAATGAGTTCCAGAAATGGCAGATGAGAATTGAGCCTTGAGAAATGAAAATTTCAGAAACTGTGTTGCTTCTTCTATTCTTTTTTTTCTCCCTGGGTTCTCATTAGAATCTAGATCTGTTGCAAACCCATGGAATGTTGCTATTCTCGTATTCTCTTACATTAAAAAATCAGACACAGTTAAGAGAAGCTATGAACATTAAAAGTAATATCAGTAAATTTGAATGACAAATGTTGTAATAGAAATAGAATGGATGGAAGTTAAATAACTTGTATTAAATGGCTTTTAAAAATCAATAAAAAATAATATACAGGTGAAAGTGAGTGTTTCCCTAAATCATAATAGCCGACAGAATTGGACCTAAATTTTGCTTTGCATCCAAAATCATTGATGATTTTAGGTAGCTGGGTAGAATATAATAAAAATACTACAACACTACAAAGAAAATCTAAACAAAAATAGTTTATAATTCTTTTTCATTTGAAGAAAATTGCACAGCCATATATGGTAGAATATGGGCCTTAGAAATTAAGATCCAAATTCAAGCTTCTCCAACAAATTTCTACTCAAGTGATCTCAGGTAAATTTCTTACCTTATCTGAATGTAAATTTTCCCATGTATAAAATAGTTACGTACTATTGACTGCTAATGGTTATTTCAAGGACCAAATATAAAACGTACTTTGTAAACTCTAAAATGGCAACTGTTTTTCAAAAAGTATTTAGTGAGACAGTCAGCTGTGCCTGATGATCTATATTTGGCATGAGTCAAAAAGAAATCACTAACCTCTATATTACAGAAGCTCAAACCCATTTTACATCAATATAAGTTAGAATGTAAATTTGTCTTTTACCTTTGGTTTCCATATGGACAAAGATTCTTCCCACCCCCAACCCCATGTTATCTAAGTCTAGGATTTTATCACTAATAATTATAATGCACAAGAGACATAAAGACACCAAGCAGAGAATACTAAAACAAAAACTTATCAAAC